ACAAAATGTTTACCGGTTGTTCCTTAAGCGTTCAGGTGGTCCGTTATGAATCATGTTCACGAAGCCATGATGTATCTGGGCTGGGAAAAGAGCCTTGGTAAAGTTTACGATTATTATTGGTTTGAGCATATGTCCAAATATGTACGAAAGTTTGTTGATAATTGTATCAATTCAGCAGAACTTCATCCGATCCCAAAAGTTAGTAGTCCGTGGCCCACTGTACACATTGACATTACCGGCAAATTGAGTGGTAATAAAATAATGTAAAAAAATATTTTTTTAAAAACAAGTTTTTATTTTACCTGTACAATCAAAGGAATAAAATGAAGTAGTGTAACAAAAGATTTTTTAGCAAGAAAATTTTGTCAAAACTGCACTAAAATTAGTAAAATAAAATAAGTTAAGGTCTCGTTAAAGTTACTAAAAGCCATTTAGTGAAAGGAGTTATTCAAACTCTAATGAAAATTACTAACAATCTGTACTAATTTATTTCGTTTTTAAAAAAGCTTGTCGCGCGAATAGCAAACCGGCATTTAAATATCTGCATACATACATATACATACATACATAACCAATTATGCATGTACGCTGAATTCGCCGACAAGCTTTTTTAAAAACGAAGTAAATTAGTACAGATTGTTAGTAATTTTCATTAGAGTTTGAATAACTCCTTTCACTAAATGGCTTTTAGTAACTTTAACGAGACCTTCAGCCCTGTTCTGCATTCCGATTCGAATCGGAATCGGATTTGTTTCCGATTGTTGGTGTTCTGCATTCCGACAATCGGAAATTATTTCCGATTCCGCCTTGTTCTACATTTCGATCCACTTCGAATCGGAATTCTATCGGAAATTTGATGCTCTGCATTCCGATTATCGGAAATTTTTTATCGGAAATGTTCCGATCAGCTAAAAGCCAGTGGGATAGAAAATAATCAAAACGAAAAACAAAAATATAACTGTGAACGGTCAAAGGAAAAATTGTATAGTCAGCAAACAGCAAAGAATGTAAGTAAAGAAAATAAAAGTGGTAATTATTAAAATTGAAATTATTAAAATGCAGGGGAAAGCACAAGACGGCGGAGCAAAGCAAAAATATGTAGGATTTCATGGAAGTAAATCCAGACATAGCGAAAGGCTTCTTCAGAGGAGACAAAGTGTCTCTTGAGGAAAAGTGGCGCCAACTAACGGAATCGTTGAATAGCCAAGGACCACCAATAAAAAACACAAATGAGTGGAAGAAGGTAAAATATTATTGTGATTATAAGGATAACAATAATATTTAGATTTTTTGCAACTAGACCTGGGGTGACTGGAAAAGTGAAGTGAGGAAGAAATTGGCACACAACAGAAGAGAGGCCGTGGCTACCGGAGGCGGCCCATTTAAAAAGTACACTTTGTCGGAGGCGGAGGAAACGGTAGCAAGAATTTCCGGACTGTACGCTGTTGTAGAAGGCATATCAATGTCCACTTCTTTTGGAACTGGGGAGGAGGCAGTATCCGCGCCCGATTTAAGCGATGATGATTTGCCTACCACATCCGCAAGAGCCCGTGAGGAGAAAACCAATCCGTCTCCGACCCCAAAGAGGCACAGAAATAATCCCTCACTACAGGTAAATTACAAAATAAAATATGAATACTTACATATGTATATATGTGTATATGTTAATGTATGTATGTATATATTATACCTTTTGTATATTTCTAGGATTCCGTGAAGGCATTCATGCAAACGGAAAATAAATTCTATGAAAGCCTTTCTGGAAGCATAGCAGCGCTGGCGAAAAATCAAAAAGACATCGAGACCGACGTCAGACGAGTTTACCGCGGCTTAGACAAAATTAATGCCACTTTAGAAAACATCCGCAGCGACATGAATAATCACCATAAAAAAGTGGAAGAAGCATTGCTGGAAAGAAACCAAATTAAACTGCGACAGCTTGAGTTAGATTTAGAACGTTTCGAATTTGAAAAAAGTAAAAAGTCTTAAAATGTTTAGTTTTTTGTGAAAATTGTTTATAATTACAATACTTGTTTTTATTAAATATACTTGTTTTTATTAAAATATTATATAATATTCGCAATTTCGTCTCTAATTCTTTGTGCTTCACTTTGGAAGTTAATGTCTGTTGGTACAAATCTATCTACTTCACTATCTACTTCGCTGGCGTTTTCTTCAGGTTCATCATAGTCATATTCAAGATTATAGTGGCGACAAATATTATGCAAGGCAACACATACATTAATTATTTTCACAACCTTTTTTGGTTTGTACTGCAAGGTTCCTAATAAACACCGAAAACGAGTTTTAAGAACCCCAATTGTTCGTTCAACTATATTACGTGCCGAAGAATGTGTTTTGTTAAACGCGTGTTGTATAGACCGTGGTTCTGGATTTCTATATGGTGTTAATAGAAAAGGTTCCAGAGCATACCCGGCATCGCCCAATAACCACGAATTGTGATCACCATCTCGATCATAGTTGCCAACTTAGTGCTTTAAGCACTAGATTTAGTGCTTTTTGAAAAAAAAAAAAATGTTTTAGTGCCTAGTGCCCTTTTTAGTGCTTTTTTATGAACTAAAATTTCTGAATTTACAAGAATCTACAAATTTAAATGCACTAAAATGCAAACCATGATTGATGAAAAGATGAAGTTGCAAACCCACGTTCTTGCGTTCTTGTTAAATTGAATTCGCATTGAAAATGCTAGTACGCATTTATTTTTTTATACCTTTCATGAGCATGAAATGGTATTATAACTTTGGTCCGAT